TATTGGTCGTTTCTGGTTGTCGTCCCTCTTTCAAAGTAAGGTACAATTTTTGGTCCTCATTCTTTTCGAAACGTTCGTTTTAGTCCTGGAAAACTAAATACTGTTTAAAAATTTGGTCCTCATTTAGCAACTAAAACGAACGTTTAACCAAAATTCCAATGACTAAAACGAACGTTTCGAAAAGAATGAGGACCAAATTGTACCTTACTTTGAAAGAGAGACGAAAACCAGAAACGACCAATAGTTTAGGGACTAAAAACATATTTAGTTCATATTTTTTTTTAAGATAATCATACTTTGATAATATTTTTTTACAATATTTTTAATATCATACATATTATTTTATAATTGATTCATATTGATGTTTATAATTATTATTATTAATTATAAAATAATTTTAAATAAATCGTAATTATTAAAGTATTATTATCTTTCATTTTAAACAATACGAACAAATACACTTTCCTCTATCAGATTTGGTCAATCCCTATGTATTTGAATTTACACTGGAGATAGCACGACTTGTTTTTGACATTTTATCAAGCATTTACTTGACACAACTAAAGCATTTCAAAGATAAACTGTCGAGTTTTATTGTCTTTTTGACATTCAAAAGAACAAATAAAACTTCTACTATTAAACATAAAATAGAGTAAAATTTGAAATCGATAAAACCTGAAAAATCTCAAATAAATCTTATTTTTAATTTAAGTTAAAACACATTGTGTCATTGTTTAAAAACCTCAAATAAATCTTCATGTTTTTATTGATATTCCTTATTTTTTAAAGTATATAACAATTAATTGTTTTTCATTAATACTAACAACATTAAAAAGACGAATCATAGTTGTTTTAATTTCTATTTTTAATTTTTAATTTATTTTATTTTAAAACAATATATTGTACGTGTCAGGTTATTATAAATTTTAATTTAATTATTGTATTTGTTAGGGTTTCAACTTTTTTAAATTAATCACTTTCATCTATTTTCAAACTGGGATTACATTTGATTTTTTATATAAATGTTATACTAACATCTTTATTAAAATTTAATGTTTTTATTAATATTTTGTATAGGATTAAATTTATTTCAATTTATATTTTACAAAAAACTTTATTTAAATTTTATTTCAAAATTTTAAATGTATATGTATTGATATTTTATCACATCAAACTTTAATGTTGTTTTTATTTGAATTTATATTACAACTAATTGTATATAAAATTATATAGATTTGTAGATTTACATTTCAAACATTTTTATGAAATTATATACTAATAATTTATATAATGTAAAAAATGGTTAAAAATTATTATTTTATGAATTCAAATATAAAACGTTACACTCTAAATTTTTCCCTTACTGAAATGTATAATTAAGAAAGTACGTGATTTAAAATAAAACTTCATTTCTATTTAATTGAAAATCTCATTAAACAAAAATATACAATGTTTAAAAAAAAAATAAAACTAAAAGACGGACTTAAATATCCTCAGTATCTATAATATCATATGTTATTGTATTAAATATGATTATTATAATAGTAAACCACAATCACAAAAATATAAAAATGAAATAAGATATAAATATCATAACTAACCTACATATCAATTGTAATGTAACAATTCACACAAATATTACGTAGTCATGTGTCTCACTGACACCGTATAATTCCATCATTAGTCTCACACAATCTTTCATATAGTCTATTATCTCAAATAACAATTTAAACATATCATCACACTTTCAAAATGTCATCACAACAATTTATACAGTCACTAGTAATCTCAGCATCAATAATCAATTTATAACTCTCACCTACAACTTACCAGCAACTGCTCACCATTAGAGCAACCACCTTCCCTACTTTCCTCAAGTCTTAGAGATTGGATTCACTTTCTTATCGAAAGATTCATCAACAAAATATACAAATGTCACTTTCCACCACTCTCCTTGAGAGTTTTTTCTTACAATATCTCTCTGTTACAACTAAATGGAGTTATCCTTCACCATTTTTATTCAAGTCATCATACACAAGTACATGTCTATGTTTCTAAATAACCACATATTAACATGTCATCACAATCATACTAAATAACTTCTACTCCACAGTTTATATTTAAATAAAAGAATACATCACTTAAAAACAAGAAAATAAGAATGTAAGTTCTCTTTACTTCTTACTTTTGACTTATTCTTCCACCTCCTTCAAAATTCAACTTTCAAAACTTTCTCCTTTATTTTTTGACCTGTCATTTGTAATTCTTTTCCTAAACCTTATCATTCCATATGTTTATAAGCCTATTACATGTAAAGAAAACACTATATTTTATCATTATTATTTAACAACAATATATAAAAATATTTCATAATATTTAATCTTATATTAAGATATCTCTTAAACTTGTAACACAACAATATCCAAAATATAAAATAATACGAAACAATACCCAATAATATTATTATTAAGAAGTGTATTTTAAGTCTAACTCAATTCCACTACACAAACTTGTAAAGTGAGATTTACAACCACTTATATGTTATAATATGATCTTATCTTTATTCGATGAGACTTTCAACTACCCTTTCAGGTATAGACATCTCGAAAGTCTCATCTCGAAAGTCTTATTTCTATATATTCGAAGTTTTAGGTCAAAGTCAAAGCATCGTTGTTGGGCTTGTGGTAGAATCCATCGGGCCTAATTCAAAACCAAAATGATCTGTNTAATTATTATTATTAATTATAAAATAATTTTAAATAAATCGTAATTATTAAAGTATTATTATCTTTCATTTTAAACAATACGAACAAATACACTTTCCTCTATCAGATTTGGTCAATCCCTATGTATTTGAATTTACACTGGAGATAGCACGACTTGTTTTTGACATTTTATCAAGCATTTACTTGACACAACTAAAGCATTTCAAAGATAAACTGTCGAGTTTTATTGTCTTTTTGACATTCAAAAGAACAAATAAAACTTCTACTATTAAACATAAAATAGAGTAAAATTTGAAATCGATAAAACCTGAAAAATCTCAAATAAATCTTATTTTTAATTTAAGTTAAAACACATTGTGTCATTGTTTAAAAACCTCAAATAAATCTTCATGTTTTTATTGATATTCCTTATTTTTTAAAGTATATAACAATTAATTGTTTTTCATTAATACTAACAACATTAAAAAGACGAATCATAGTTGTTTTAATTTCTATTTTTAATTTTTAATTTATTTTATTTTAAAATAATATATTGTACGTGTCAGGTTATTATAAATTTTAATTTAATTATTGTATTTGTTAGGGTTTCAACTTTTTTAAATTAATCACTTTCATCTATTTTCAAACTGGGATTACATTTGATTTTTTATATAAATGTTATACTAACATCTTTATTAAAATTTAATGTTTTTATTAATATTTTGTATAGGATTAAATTTATTTCAATTTATATTTTACAAAAAACTTTATTTAAATTTTATTTCAAAATTTTAAATGTATATGTATTGATATTTTATCACATCAAACTTTAATGTTGTTTTTATTTGAATTTATATTACAACTAATTGTATATAAAATTATATAGATTTGTAGATTTACATTTCAAACATTTTTATGAAATTATATACTAATAATTTATATAATGTAAAAAATGGTTAAAAATTATTATTTTATGAATTCAAATATAAAACGTTACACTCTAAATTTTTCCCTTACTGAAATGTATAATTAAGAAAGTACGTGATTTAAAATAAAACTTCATTTCTATTTAATTGAAAATCTCATTAAACAAAAATATACAATGTTTAAAAAAAAAATAAAACTAAAAGACGGACTTAAATATCCTCAGTATCTATAATATCATATGTTATTGTATTAAATATGATTATTATAATAGTAAACCACAATCACAAAAATATAAAAATGAAATAAGATATAAATATCATAACTAACCTACATATCAATTGTAATGTAACAATTCACACAAATATTACGTAGTCATGTGTCTCACTGACACCGTATAATTCCATCATTAGTCTCACACAATCTTTCATATAGTCTATTATCTCAAATAACAATTTAAACATATCATCACACTTTCAAAATGTCATCACAACAATTTATACAGTCACTAGTAATCTCAGCATCAATAATCAATTTATAACTCTCACCTACAACTTACCAGCAACTGCTCACCATTAGAGCAACCACCTTCCCTACTTTCCTCAAGTCTTAGAGATTGGATTCACTTTCTTATCGAAAGATTCATCAACAAAATATACAAATGTCACTTTCCACCACTCTCCTTGAGAGTTTTTTCTTACAAGATCTCTCTGTTACAACTAAATGGAGTTATCCTTCACCACTTTTATTCAAGTCATCATACACAAGTACATGTCTATGTTTCTAAATAACCACATATTAACATGTCATCACAATCATACTAAATAACATCTACTCCACAGTTTATATTTAAATAAAAGAATACATCACATAAAAACAAGAAAATAAGAATGTAAGTTCTCTTTACTTCTTACTTTTGACTTATTCTTCCACCTCCTTCAAAATTCAACTTTCAAAACTTTCTCCTTTATTTTTTGACCTGTCATTTGTAATTCTTTTCCTAAACCTTATCATTCCATATGTTTATAAGCCTATTACATGTAAAGAAAACACTATATTTTATCATTATTATTTAACAACAATATATAAAAATATTTCATAATATTTAATCTTATATTAAGATATCTCTTAAACTTGTAACACAACAATATCCAAAATATAAAATAATACGAAACAATACCCAATAATATTATTATTAAGAAGTGTATTTTAAGTCTAACTCAATTCCACTACACAAACTTGTAAAGTGAGATTTACAACCACTTATATGTTATAATATGATCTTATCTTTATTCGATGAGACTTTCAACTACCCTTTCAGGTATAGACATCTCGAAAGTCTCATCTCGAAAGTCTTATTTCTATATATTCGAAGTTTTAGGTCAAAGTCAAAGCATCGTTGTTGGGCTTGTGGTAGAATCCATCGGGCCTAATTCAAAACCAAAATGATCTGTCATCTGTGTGTTGCAACGGTAGCGTTCTCAATTTTCCGAAGAGGGAAAATGTTGATTCGACGATTACCTTGGTCGGCGATTTCTGTCGCCACATTATTTCCCCGTCGTTCCGGTGGTTCAAATGGACTTCGCATTCCCGTTCGCAAGCAACTTAACTCTTCTCCCTACCCCTTCTGCTATAGCTCCGGCATCAATCTCCCTCCACAACCGGTAATTTCGTTTTCACGCCATGCCTAGGGTTTTTACGATATAATATTTATTGCATCACTCACCTAATTTGAGTTTCCGCTCGCAGGGTCACGAAACGGATATTCGTCACTCGCAATCTCTGAAACCCGGTCTTTACCTTGTCGGAACACCGATCGGAAATCTCGAAGATATCACTCTGAGGTACGAAACATCTAACTCTTCATTTTTCCTCATTCCAATTTGGCGTTTAAGTTTAACTCTGCATTTGTTTGATGAACACGGGCAGGGCTCTTCGCGTGCTGAATTCAGCTGATGTTATACTCTCGGAGGACACGAGGCATTCGGGAAAGTTGCTTCATCACTATAACATCAAAACGCCTCTCGTAAGTATCGTCCGATAGCAACGTTGATTACTTTCCAATTTGCGTGTTCTGATGCGCTTTTGTAGTTCTTCAGATGAGTTATCACAAATACAACGAATCGCAAAGGGAACAGGTTGTGCTGAGGAGGTTAAAGCANATTTTATTTTTTAATTAAAAAAAAGACGTATATTAAAAACATATATAGTTATATGAAGTATTTTCGAATTATAAATTAAAAATATTATTATTCTTACATATTAAATTACTTAATTATAATCCATAATTAAAATTTAATTAGATTTTTAAATAAATTTATTATTTTTTGCATCTCTTTAAAAAAATATGAAAAATATGCTTAATTACATAAATATTTTTAGATATAACGCGTCTTAATTAATGTCAAATTTAATCTTTTAAATGATTATTTATTTTAATTAAAAACTGGATAAACAAACGATCTCATCTCACCGCTAAAATAGTGAGAAAATGAGGGGTTGGTACACATTCTAATCCCTACATCTATCTTTCCTTCACCACTGTCTGTGGATATAAACTTGTCTTGATATTTTAATGCCGGCTTGACAATTTCCGAGCAAAATCTAAATCTTAAATTTACTTTTTCACGCCATCTTGTGGTTAACTTCTCATTATTAAAGTTATAATTGAGATTTTATAACTTAGAACAAAAGGCTTGATTTTAAAGATATGGTGATAAAAAAAAAGTTGAACTCATATTTCATAACATACTCAAAAAAACAGGATAATCATTGATAATATTTTTTGGGTTAAATATGTTTTTAGTTCCTAAACTATTGGTCGTTTCTGGTTGTCGTCCCTCTTTCAAAGTAAGGTACAATTTTTGGTCCTCATTCTTTTCGAAACGTTCGTTTTAGTCCTGGAAAACTAAATACTGTTTAAAAATTTGGTCCTCATTTAGCAACTAAAACGAACGTTTAACCAAAATTCCAATGACTAAAACGAACGTTTCGAAAAGAATGAGGACCAAATTGTACCTTACTTTGAAAGAGAGACGAAAACCAGAAACGACCAATAGTTTAGGGACTAAAAACATATTTAGTTCATATTTTTTTTTAAGATAATCATACTTTGATAATATTTTTTTACAATATTTTTAATATCATACATATTATTTTATAATTGATTCATATTGATGTTTATAATTATTATTATTAATTATAAAATAATTTTAAATAAATCGTAATTATTAAAGTATTATTATCTTTCATTTTAAACAATACGAACAAATACACTTTCCTCTATCAGATTTGGTCAATCCCTATGTATTTGAATTTACACTGGAGATAGCACGACTTGTTTTTGACATTTTATCAAGCATTTACTTGACACAACTAAAGCATTTCAAAGATAAACTGTCGAGTTTTATTGTCTTTTTGACATTCAAAAGAACAAATAAAACTTCTACTATTAAACATAAAATAGAGTAAAATTTGAAATCGATAAAACCTGAAAAATCTCAAATAAATCTTATTTTTAATTTAAGTTAAAACACATTGTGTCATTGTTTAAAAACCTCAAATAAATCTTCATGTTTTTATTGATATTCCTTATTTTTTAAAGTATATAACAATTAATTGTTTTTCATTAATACTAACAACATTAAAAAGACGAATCATAGTTGTTTTAATTTCTATTTTTAATTTTTAATTTATTTTATTTTAAAACAATATATTGTACGTGTCAGGTTATTATAAATTTTAATTTAATTATTGTATTTGTTAGGGTTTCAACTTTTTTAAATTAATCACTTTCATCTATTTTCAAACTGGGATTACATTTGATTTTTTATATAAATGTTATACTAACATCTTTATTAAAATTTAATGTTTTTATTAATATTTTGTATAGGATTAAATTTATTTCAATTTATATTTTACAAAAAACTTTATTTAAATTTTATTTCAAAATTTTAAATGTATATGTATTGATATTTTATCACATCAAACTTTAATGTTGTTTTTATTTGAATTTATATTACAACTAATTGTATATAAAATTATATAGATTTGTAGATTTACATTTCAAACATTTTTATGAAATTATATACTAATAATTTATATAATGTAAAAAATGGTTAAAAATAATTATTTTATGAATTCAAATATAAAACGTTACACTCTAAATTTTTCCCTTACTGAAATGTATAATTAAGAAAGTACGTGATTTAAAATAAAACTTCATTTCTATTTAATTGAAAATCTCATTAAACAAAAATATACAATGTTTAAAAAAAAAATAAAACTAAAAGACGGACTTAAATATCCTCAGTATCTATAATATCATATGTTATTGTATTAAATATGATTATTATAATAGTAAACCACAATCACAAAAATATAAAAATGAAATAAGATATAAATATCATAACTAACCTACATATCAATTGTAATGTAACAATTCACACAAATATTACGTAGTCATGTGTCTCACTGACACCGTATAATTCCATCATTAGTCTCACACAATCTTTCATATAGTCTATTATCTCAAATAACAATTTAAACATATCATCACACTTTCAAAATGTCATCACAACAATTTATACAGTCACTAGTAATCTCAGCATCAATAATCAATTTATAACTCTCACCTACAACTTACCAGCAACTGCTCACCATTAGAGCAACCACCTTCCCTACTTTCCTCAAGTCTTAGAGATTGGATTCACTTTCTTATCGAAAGATTCATCAACAAAATATACAAATGTCACTTTCCACCACTCTCCTTGAGAGTTTTTTCTTACAAGATCTCTCTGTTACAACTAAATGGAGTTATCCTTCACCACTTTTATTCAAGTCATCATACACAAGTACATGTCTATGTTTCTAAATAACCACATATTAACATGTCATCACAATCATACTAAATAACATCTACTCCACAGTTTATATTTAAATAAAAGAATACATCACATAAAAACAAGAAAATAAGAATGTAAGTTCTCTTTACTTCTTACTTTTGACTTATTCTTCCACCTCCTTCAAAATTCAACTTTCAAAACTTTCTCCTTTATTTTTTGACCTGTCATTTGTAATTCTTTTCCTAAACCTTATCATTCCATATGTTTATAAGCCTATTACATGTAAAGAAAACACTATATTTTATCATTATTATTTAACAACAATATATAAAAATATTTCATAATATTTAATCTTATATTAAGATATCTCTTAAACTTGTAACACAACAATATCCAAAATATAAAATAATACGAAACAATACCCAATAATATTATTATTAAGAAGTGTATTTTAAGTCTAACTCAATTCCACTACACAAACTTGTAAAGTGAGATTTACAACCACTTATATGTTATAATATGATCTTATCTTTATTCGATGAGACTTTCAACTACCCTTTCAGGTATAGACATCTCGAAAGTCTCATCTCGAAAGTCTTATTTCTATATATTCGAAGTTTTAGGTCAAAGTCAAAGCATCGTTGTTGGGCTTGTGGTAGAATCCATCGGGCCTAATTCAAAACCAAAATGATCTGTCATCTGTGTGTTGCAACGGTAGCGTTCTCAATTTTCCGAAGAGGGAAAATGTTGATTCGACGATTACCTTGGTCGGCGATTTCTGTCGCCACATTATTTCCCCGTCGTTCCGGTGGTTCAAATGGACTTCGCATTCCCGTTCGCAAGCAACTTAACTCTTCTCCCTACCCCTTCTGCTATAGCTCCGGCATCAATCTCCCTCCACAACCGGTAATTTCGTTTTCACGCCATGCCTAGGGTTTTTACGATATAATATTTATTGCATCACTCACCTAATTTGAGTTTCCTCTCGCAGGGTCACGAAACGGATATTCGTCACTCGCAATCTCTGAAACCCGGTCTTTACCTTGTCGGAACACCGATCGGAAATCTCGAAGATATCACTCTGAGGTACGAAACATCTAACTCTTCATTTTTCCTCATTCCAATTTGGCGTTTAAGTTTAACTCTGCATTTGTTTGATGAACACGGGCAGGGCTCTTCGCGTGCTGAATTCAGCTGATGTTATACTCTCGGAGGACACGAGGCATTCGGGAAAGTTGCTTCATCACTATAACATCAAAACGCCTCTCGTAAGTATCGTCCGATAGCAACGTTGATTACTTTCCAATTTGCGTGTTCTGATGCGCTTTTGTAGTTCTTCAGATGAGTTATCACAAATACAACGAATCGCAAAGGGAACAGGTTGTGCTGAGGAGGTTAAAGCAAGGTGATGTCGTGGCTCTTATAAGTGATGCTGGAATGCCAGGCATCAGTGATCCGGGTATGGAGTTGGTAAGTGTGTTTTTGCTAGCAAATTTGTTGTTGTCGACGGGGTTTTTCATTTTTTGCCGTGGCGAACACAGTTTCCCCTACTTTCTTGATAATGTGGAAAATTGCAGACAAGTGCGTCTACAATTTCTGTCCCGACCTCAATTTTTAACCTTGTTGACAACAATAAATTTGCAATGGAAGTTGTAGTTGAGGACCTTTTTTTAGAACCTTAGTTGTGAATATTCCTATATGTTTCTTAAGTGTCTGTTTGGTGATGTAGAGGATTTCTTTAATAAAAAATGCAGGCAAAATTGTGTGTTAGTGAGAATATCCTGGTTGTGCCAATCCCTGGTCCTTGTGCTTTGGTGTCGGCTCTTTCTGCCTCGGGCTTACCTACTGATGAATTTACATTCGGTAATGTGCTGAATTAATTGAATTTTAGCATTCATGGTATTTTGGGACCTAAAATGGCTTTTGTTATGTTTAATTTGCAGTTGGTTTTCTTCCTAAACATTCTGGTTCTAGAAAATAAAGGCTTATGGTTTCAGCTGATCAAACTACTACACAGATATTTTACGTTCCTCCTCACAAGCTTTCTCAGTTTCTTGACGAGAGTTCTTCAATTTTTGGTGATGCAAGGTACTGACAGTTAGCTTAAAAGTGGTGTACACTTGTCAGCCTTTTCTTCTAGTTTATATACTTTTTGCTCACCTCTCCAATTTCCCAGTTGGAGAATTATTTGTTTGCATTTTTTGCAATTTATTAATAATTGTTATTCTGAACTGTGATCTATCTGTTTAGTTTATCATTCAACTTTAGCGTGAATTTTGACGTCTTATGCATTAAAATTTTTCTAAACAGAAGGAAGTTGCACAAGTAATAGTTTACATAAGTTTTTTTTAATTTTTTAATTTTTTTTAAAAATTTTTATCTGGGAGGTATTTACTTTTTCTGCAGAACCCTCCTTTGGTCAATATAGGATTTCAGAGTTGTGGCTTAGGGAATATTGTTTCAGATTGGTTGACTCTTCAATTTGATGATATTGCAGGAAATGTGTTATTGCTCGGGAAATGACTAAGTTACATGAAGAGGTGAGTTTAGCATTTAACTCTCTGTAGTCAGTGTTCCATGGGGATGGCCATTGGATCTGTTTATCAGTTATCCCTCCAGTTCATCCATAAATGGAACCAACCAAACTATCTAATTATAGAAAATAAAAATGAATGGATTGGATTGGATAGTGAGTGAATAAGTATTAGATGGCTAATGAACCATCTGACATATTTCTTTAAACCACTAGGTTAATGGCAATAACTCTAGTGAATCCAAAGTCCTGGAGAGCCAACCTTGCTTCCTCAGTTCATAACTTCAAATTCCATGAAATAAAAATAGGAAATTATATTAGAGGGGAAAAATCTTGGTTGTGAGAGCTATTGATCGAAGAGAAATGAGGAACCTTGGCAGATAAAATTGTATGTCTGAAAAAAGAAAAAGGAAGCTTCCAGAGCAAGAGCACAAATTAGAAAAGAAAGAGCTAGGAGAAGTATGAGAGAAATGCGAGCAATTGATCAAAGAAATTGAGGAACCTAATAGAAATCTGTTCAGAAGAATCTCTTGTAGAAAAGAAAGAAGCATTGTTAGAAAGAGCTGAAATCTAGAAAAGAATGAGGTGGACGTGTGAGAGGAATGAAAAAATTGTTAGTGTCTCTGCAGAAGTTGACCAGGGAACTTGTGAAGAGGAAGAGAGATGAGTGAGATTTACTATATGGAATTCATTTTTTTCAATTAACTATCATAATATTTCTGTTATGGTTATTTTGAAGTTGTTTATTCTGCAACTATATTTCACTTAATTTGTAGTGATGCAAATAAATGGGGACTTACGACACTTAATAGCAACCCAGCAGTATGCCTTTGTTTAATAGAATTTTGTTAATCGTTAGCTTAATCAATATGCAGTACCCTTGCTCTCATGATAGTTTTTAACTGATGCAGTAGATATTGTTTATGTAGTTTTGGCGTGGTACACTTGGTGAAGCCAAGGAAGTATTTTCTATTCGTCAAGTGAAGGGAGAACTTACTATATTGATTCAGGGGCAAGCAAATTCTAAAGTTGAACCTCCATCAGACATTGAGCTTGAGAGTGAACTTAGAGAACTGATTTCAAGTGGCGAGAGTCTTTCCATGGTAGTAACCTCCTTACATTTGNCACAAACTTGTAAAGTGAGATTTACAACCACTTATATGTTATAATATGATCTTATCTTTATTCGATGAGACTTTCAACTACCCTTTCAGGTATAGACATCTCGAAAGTCTCATCTCGAAAGTCTTATTTCTATATATTCGAAGTTTTAGGTCAAAGTCAAAGCATCGTTGTTGGGCTTGTGGTAGAATCCATCGGGCCTAATTCAAAACCAAAATGATCTGTCATCTGTGTGTTGCAACGGTAGCGTTCTCAATTTTCCGAAGAGGGAAAATGTTGATTCGACGATTACCTTGGTCGGCGATTTCTGTCGCCACATTATTTCCCCGTCGTTCCGGTGGTTCAAATGGACTTCGCATTCCCGTTCGCAAGCAACTTAACTCTTCTCCCTACCCCTTCTGCTATAGCTCCGGCATCAATCTCCCTCCACAACCGGTAATTTCGTTTTCACGCCATGCCTAGGGTTTTTACGATATAATATTTATTGCATCACTCACCTAATTTGAGTTTCCACTCGCAGGGTCACGAAACGGATATTCGTCACTCGCAATCTCTGAAACCCGGTCTTTACCTTGTCGGAACACCGATCGGAAATCTCGAAGATATCACTCTGAGGTACGAAACATCTAACTCTTCATTTTTCCTCATTCCAATTTGGCGTTTAAGTTTAACTCTGCATTTGTTTGATGAACACGGGCAGGGCTCTTCGCGTGCTGAATTCAGCTGATGTTATACTCTCGGAGGACACGAGGCATTCGGGAAAGTTGCTTCATCACTATAACATCAAAACGCCTCTCGTAAGTATCGTCCGATAGCAACGTTGATTACTTTCCAATTTGCGTGTTCTGATGCGCTTTTGTAGTTCTTCAGATGAGTTATCACAAATACAACGAATCGCAAAGGGAACAGGTTGTGCTGAGGAGGTTAAAGCAAGGTGATGTCGTGGCTCTTATAAGTGATGCTGGAATGCCAGGCATCAGTGATCCGGGTATGGAGTTGGTAAGTGTGTTTTTGCTAGCAAATTTGTTGTTGTCGACGGGGTTTTTCATTTTTTGCCGTGGCGAACACAGTTTCCCCTACTTTCTTGATAATGTGGAAAATTGCAGACAAGTGCGTCTACAATTTCTGTCCCGACCTCAATTTTTAACCTTGTTGACAACAATAAATTTGCAATGGAAGTTGTAGTTGAGGACCTTTTTTTAGAACCTTAGTTGTGAATATTCCTATATGTTTCTTAAGTGTCTGTTTGGTGATGTAGAGGATTTCTTTAATAAAAAATGCAGGCAAAATTGTGTGTTAGTGAGAATATCCTGGTTGTGCCAATCCCTGGTCCTTGTGCTTTGGTGTCGGCTCTTTCTGCCTCGGGCTTACCTACTGATGAATTTACATTCGGTAATGTGCTGAATTAATTGAATTTTAGCATTCATGGTATTTTGGGACCTAAAATGGCTTTTGTTATGTTTAATTTGCAGTTGGTTTTCTTCCTAAACATTCTGGTTCTAGAAAAGAAAGGCTCATGGTTTCAGCTGATCAAACTACTACACAGATATTTTACGTTCCTCCTCACAAGCTTTCTCAGTTTCTTGACGAGAGTTCTTCAATTTTTGGTGATGCAAGGTACTGACAGTTAGCTTAAAAGTGGTGTACACTTGTCAGCCTTTTCTTCTAGTTTATATACATTTTGCTCACCTCTCCAATTTCCCAGTTGGAGAATTATTTGTTTGCATTTTTTGCAATTTATTAATAATTGATATTCTGAACTGTGATCTATCTGTTTAGTTTATCATTCAACTTTAGCGTGAATTTTGACGTCTTATGCATTAAAATTTTTCTAAACAGAAGGAAGTTGCACAAGTAATAGTTTATATAAGTTTTTTTTTAATTTTTTAATTTTTTATCTGGGAGGTATTTACTCTTTCTGCAGAACCCTCCTTTGGTCAATATAGGATTTCAGAGTTGTGGCTTAGGGAATATTGTTTCAGATTGGTTGACTCTTCAATTTGATGATATTGCAGGAAATGTGTTATTGCTCGGGAAATGACTAAGTTACATGAAGAGGTGAGTTTAGCATTTAACTCTCTGTAGTCAGTGTTCCATGGGGATGGCCATTGGATCTGTTTATCAGTTATCCCTCCAGTTCATCCATAAATGGAACCAACCAAACTATCTAATTATAGAAAATAAAAATGAATGGATTGGATTGGATAGTGAGTGAATAAGTATTAGATGGCTAATGAACCATCTGACATATTTCTTTAAACCACTAGGTTAATGGCAATAACTCTAGTGAATCCAAAGTCCTGGAGAGCCAACCTTGCTTCCTCAGTTCATAACTTCAAATTCCATGAAATAAAAATAGGAAATTATATTAGAGAGGAAAAATCTTGGTTGTGAGAGCTATTGATCGAAGAGAAATGAGGAACCTTGGCAGATAAAATTGTATGTCTGAAAAAAGAAAAAGGAAGCTTCCAGAGCAAGAGCACAAATTAGAAAAGAAAGAGCTAGGAGAAGTATGAGAGAAATGCGAGCAATTGATCAAAGAAATTGAGGAACCTAATAGAAATCTGTTCAGAAGAATCTCTTGTAGAAAAGAAAGAAGCAATGTTAGAAAGAGCTGAAATCTAGAAAAGAATGAGGTGGACGTGTGAGAGGAATGAAAAAATTGTTAGTGTCTCTGCAGAAGTTGACCAGGGAACTTGTGAAGAGGAAGAGAGATGAGTGAGATTTACTATATGGAATTCATTTTTTTCAATTAACTATCATAATATTTCTGTTATGGTTATTTTGAAGTTGTTTATTCTGCAACTATATTTCACTTAATTTGTAGTGATGCAAATAAATGGGGACTTACGACACTTAATAGCAACCCAGCAGTATGCCTTTGTTTAATAGAATTTTGTTAATCGTTAGCTTAATCAATATGCAGTACCCTTGCTCTCATGATAGTTTTTAACTGATGCAGTAGATATTGTTTATGTAGTTTTGGCGTGGTACACTTGGTGAAGCCAAGGAAGTATTTTCTATTCGTCAAGTGAAGGGAGAACTTACTATATTGATTCAGGGGCAAGCAAATTCTAAAGTTGAACCTCCATCAGACATTGAGCTTGAGAGTGAACTTAGAGAACTGATTTCAAGTGGCGAGAGTCTTTCCATGGTAGTAACCTCCTTACATTTGCGTGTGTTCTATTTTAAGTTTAAACTGAAGCTTGATATATGGTTATATGTTGTTTATAAGTCGAGTTAATGAAAATGGTTTGTGGATTTGAACGCTTTTCCTGGGTAGCTGTGTACAAAAGTGATAATCAATTTTCTCTAGCTTTAGAATTAAAAGAAATGGGGAATGGGTAAAAGTTATCCATATTATGACAGATATTCATTTTAAACTGAAGATGGTGGCTGCCTTTTTTTTATCTTTCTTTTAGTTGATGTCGTCCCGTCATTTTTGTGAAAAAGATCCTCTTCAGCTCTGCTAAGAAAACTTCATCGTCATTCTTAATGCGTTTCTCTTTCCTCTGTTTCACTCCCTTTGAATTGAATTTAATAGCTTAAAACTGTCTAATTTATGGGGCAATTAACTTTTGAGTATTCACAGTTAATTTCAGCATTTGTTTGATGTGTATTCCAACACATTTGTTTGTTAAGTTCAACTGCTGGGTCTGTAATAGGCTGTCAAGTTGGTCACCAGCAAAACATCAGTGAGTAGGAAAACTCTATATTCACTGGCATTAAGGAAGTTTGGGAAGCAACTCGAAGTGGAAGATGATTAAAATTAGCGTGGTTTATTTCTGCTGGTGAGTTTGATATTTCTTTGCTGGTGTTTCACTGGATACCGTATTTTAGTCGAGTTATTGTTCTATTAAAGCGTAAAATTGTTTATTGTTAACAGCGAAAGAGATTCTCTGCTCAAACTTTCAACCGGGATGGTGATGGATGGAATGAAATGATCCATCCCTGCTGTTCTAGTTTTATTACCGATCATATTAAGAATGGTTGGGCTGGTATGCCAGTTTTCAACATTGTATTCTTCTCTACCAAGGTTCTGGTTTTCATGACGCAACAAAACTGATTGTAAATGTTTACTCTGGGCAAGATAGCTGTTGGGTTGGATCGGATCGTGCCGGCGAGGCAAATGAATGGCAAAGCTGAATTCCATATTGCTTTAGCATCTGGCTCCAATTTTATCAGGATTCATTTCAGCCCTTTCCTTTGGGCTTTAGCTGAAGTAGTAAAATATATGACATTGTAAGATGTACAAAATTAAGACAAATAGTTTTTTTAAAATATCATGCGTTGTGGATTTTATAACAAAATTAGGTATATACTTGTGCAGTGTTGCCAATGAAGAATATAAGTAGTTCTACCCTCCTCTTGACCCACATTCACCACAAGAAAACCAATAACACCCAGGTTTCTTCGTACTGGTATGTCATTAATTCTCCAGTCCCACTCTTAGTTCATTTTAACATAATGCCAAACCAAGTTTCTAGACTACCTGCGGAATTAAAGAGAATAATTAGTCTGATTTCAAGCTTATTTTCTCGTAATGAGTATCTCTGGGGAAACCGCGTGGTTTGATAATATATGTTTTTAGAAATCACGACCCTAACTAATTGCGGATATAGCCAGGGCTAAGGTCAAAGGAGTAGACAAGTTATTCAGTGACAAATTTGTCATTTACTGGAAGAAGGGTGATAGTTTAATATACCAATATAAAAATTTAACTCGAAAAATATATTTGGATTGAATTATTAATTGTTACTGAACGAATAAAAGTCAATTAAATATTATTTATAGGTTTAATTATTTATTTGATGTTTATAGTTAAACAAATATAATCCTAATTCTTATATCTAAAGTAATATGTTATCTTAGTTTTTACTATTTGTTTGTCTTGCTTAATTCCTGAGTTTTAATGGTAAATATATAAAAAAAAACATCGAAAACTATGTGTAGATGGACGAAATGAGTTGGCTCCTTTTTACACTCTTTAAAAGAGAATGTAGTAATTTAGAATCTGGTTTGTACAATTAAACTCAAAGGTAATTAAAAATGCACAAAGACTGCTTTTGCAGCAACATTACCTAGTGCAGGTCAAATTTATCTTGTCTATGCTCCATTTTGATACATCTTACTTAACCTTAAGAGACTGAAAAGTGTTCGCATCTTAGAATACACAATTCATTAACTGAGTATATAGATAGCATCTTATGACAAACAGTGATGCATTCTGTTACACCCATGTTACCACTGGAATTATTGTTTTTAATTGATCAACAGTAAAAAAAAAGTTAAGCTAAGGAAAACATGTGTATTAAACTCTTAACCTATTGCCATTATTCACAGATAAGGAGGATTTTATATATATATTGAAAAATGTGAGAGCGAAAATGGAAAATAGATTGAGAAAGGAGTGGAAGTGGAACAGCTGCGTGATTATGGACGAGACAGCCAAAGCAGACGGGCGGTCGGGATCACGGGCACTGCACAGCGACATCTCATGTGCACATGCACATTGCCCTTTTCATCCCCTTGGCATGTCCCACCCTTCCTAAGACCATTCAGATAAACTCCAACTTACGTGACAAATAAATACATTGGGCCAAATTACCCCTTATAAATTACCTACCTCATTATGCCTCTCTCTCTCTTTCTCCCTTGTACATAACAAAATCTCTCCCTCACATAACAACGCCTCACCCACTCTTCATCCTTCTCTTTCCTTTTTTTTTTCTATGATCCTAATAACAATAAATACTACGTACACTTGTTCTACACTGCATAACTGCTAATAAACTTGAACCCATGACTGGATTTCCTTATTTATCTGTTAAAGAGAAAATGTTTTGCATGTTTCTAGCTAACTAGGTAAAAATTACATTACATATCATCCTCCTTGGTGAGGGCCGAGGATGGATGAAATTGAAAAATTTGCTGGCCTGTGGCTAAGATTCTGCGAGGATCGAATTGCATCTTCCTGGCATTGAATTGGGTCCACTTATCGCCAAAGTGGTCCATCCACTCCTGCTGCGTAGTGTAATGGGGCAGGTACTGTTTCACCTTGATCTCCGAACCATGGCAGAATCTCAGAATCTGACGGTTCTGATTAGTCAGGTACTCCAGTGTCTCAGTATCCAATGCTGATCTCAGAAATGCCACCAGGTAAAACACATCTTCTTCTGGTGTCACCACCGAGCTCCTAGGGTCCCACCTATACATCACCATCACCAAAATCATCTTTTGGATCTTTCTTTTTATCCATGCAATCATCCTATACACTACACTCTTGTTGGGATTTACTTACTACTACGTTGTTAACAATCCTTTGACTTGTCAGACACATTGCTACCTTGTCATATTCTTTATGCCCTTTGTGCTGCTTTCTTTCTTTTTTAGCTATACACACTACATAACATCTATCTTTTCCTTCATCAACACATCATACTTAATTTTGACACCTTCTAAACTGAAAATAATTGACCTGAAGGGTGTCTATGGAACTAGGTTAGTGTACAAGGAGAGACATGGCATCCCTACCTACCGTTGGAGGAGTGGTCCCTATGGAAGATCTTCTGACACCAGAATCTCCCAAGTTGGATGATCATGGCTTTCCACTTTGTATTCTTATGGTCTTCACAAATGGAAAGAAAATAAACGTGTCACTTCCTAGCTGGCTTTGATCAAGATTTTCATCTCCTGTGTTGGCTACAATACAACCCTCGTGTGCTCTGTGCCTTTCTACTACATCCACATAGCTATAGCTGTGTTTCTTGTTCTTTTCACACATTTCCACTTAAATAATTGGAGTAAACATTCTTTGGTTTTTAGGCTTGGCTGATATTTTTTTCACATGGTCGGGTGCAGTTCTGCACTACCTTACAACTTATCAAATCTTTTCTAATAATATTTTCTACAAACATCATTGATGACTTGGATTATTGCACATGATAATGAAACTGGAAACAAACGACGGATCATTAGGTAAAGATAACATACAGTTTTTTTTCTATATCCCTAATCCATTAATTCCGACAACAGTACTATCTGTCAATCAATCAATCATGGACGCATTATCATATTAAGTTCCACACTTATAGGGAATATTCGTTATATATTATGTTGTTGCACAGATTTTCTCTTCCATATCCAAATTTCACAAAACTTCATCCTCTATTTCATCACTCCATTAAATTTAATTATTTGTTTTTCTTTCCTCTTCTATTTACACTATACCTAAACCAAGTTGGATCAAAAAGAGGAATGAGACATAGACCTTAACACTGACATCCGATAAGAGGTTGTCAGGAACAGAAATGTCGTTTATATATGAGGAGATCTACACATGCCTGCAAGCATGCAGTGGTTTTATTCTTCATATATGACTAGACATGCGTTAAAATGATGAGTGAAACTATATACAGTGCAGTAAATGGATGCATGTGGAAATATGCTTTTATAAACTTACTTGCTTTTGTTCATAGGGTAGATGAGGATAGGCCCACTTGTCTTATTTCCGAGAATGCCCTTGAACACACCCTTGTCGAAGTCCTTTATCCTTGATTTAGGAACAAAAAGATTGAGCCATGGATGAGGAACATCCCATAAACCCTTGGATCTAAGCTTCAACTCTGCCTTATGTACACGATCCAGAAAATCTACGTAAGGCAAGTCTGATGTGAACACCGATGTTGATATAAAATGCAACTTTTTCAACAGACCCTGTATTTCCTGCTCATCATAACAACGTACAAAGAAGAAATCTATGAAAATGTCCTTGTTGTCGTTGCAATTTGCAACTGCAATGCAGAACACTCAAAACCCCAAAGGAACTAATGTGATAATAATAATACATGCACGTTTGATCTAATTTTAGTCAATTATGTTTTTCTTCTTCAATTTTCAAAGTCAGTAAAGTTTAGTCATTTTACACACACACACACACTAAATATACTCTTCAAACATTTACTAATTTTCATCACACTACATCATATGTTATTATAGCTATATTGTTGTATCTTCTTTCGGTTTCCTTTTCTATATATGTGAATAAAACATTTGGGTTTCATATAATATTTTCAAAATTAAAGAAAGCTAAACATGAAAAAGAAAGGTGGGTAGCTAAGGTAGCCGCATGCTTTTGTCGGAAGAAGGAGACTCATTATTTTGAGCAAAAGTGTGTGAGTAACTTAGAGAAGAACTCAGAGAAGTTAAAAACAAGCAAGAGATTATTGTGGTGAATGCCGGAAAATTTAAACAGTAAAATTAACTATTGTGAAGGTTGCTTTCAATCTTGCGATTGAATCCAGAAGCTAGATTGCACAAGATCTTCCACAGGTTTTCTTTTCTGTGTGTTTATTGCATTCTGTTGTACGACTGCAGACTGGTCTGTGTTTGGTACAGAGAATAATCATATACGAGGACAGCGACACAAGCTTTTAAATTCAACAAATTATGAAAATAAGCCAACAAATTCAATGAAATATCTTTGTGATCTAACTCTACCTGAAAGTGAGATTCACAAGAGAAAATATGCATGTTATATATTATTGCTAGCTGTATGGAGGAGGTAATCAATTGGCTTTTAGCCAAAACTTGACAGATATTGAATTATTGAACAAAATATGAATTTCTGAATAAAAAAAGTAAGACATTAAGTGAATAATGAGATTTTGACACATTGATTTCTCCTGTTTTAAAATAATTAAATTTCATGTAATTAAGAAATTACTAAATACTTTTAGTTTTTAAAAATAAATTAACTTAATTATACAACGCTCTCTCATCGACTTAAAAGAATAATGGAAGACAAAAATACAGTTAAAGTGACAGTAATTGAGGATTTCAGAACATTCAAAACAGCATTCAAATTTGTAACAACTCACTACGTTTCAGAACGTGAATGTTCCTTTCATGGATAGTAGAATGGTTTGAAGAAAAGACAAACTAGTGTCTGACTAAACATTCAAGTTTAATGCCGTAAAACAACTGTTATTGCATAATGCTATTTCCGTTCTGTCATGTTTGTCTGCTTTTCAAATCAATGTTTTTTTTTGTTGTTGTTGATGTTCAAATCAATGGCATCGATGTTGTCCATTCATGTTTTCCAGTTACACTTTTTTCTCCTTTCATATATTGGACCTCTTTTGCATTCACGTTGATTTAATGTTAGAAACTTATCCTTCCATTTTCAATCAGAAAAACAGGTTTTGATATATTCTTCCTTACTCTTTACCGGAATCTCTTTCGCCATTAAAGTGATCAGATGATACATAATGTATGAAACTAAAAGTAATTAATAAAAGTAACACGTCATGAATAGACTAAGATAAAAACTGATGATATATGAATATTTTATGGTCACAGCGCACTAAGTGTATGGCAGTGAATAATACTATTATTATTATTATTATTATAAGTGAGAGTGAGAAAGAAGAGAAAATCTATGTTGGGTTGTGTGTGTACCTCGTCAACAGAATCTGCGTTTTCTTGGTCGTAGTTTTTTGTAATCTCCAAGCAGTACAAAACACCTCCGTCGGCGTTGAGGGAAGTGATATTAACAGGGTTACTTGGTGAAAAAAACGAAGATCTCCAATTATTTATCAGCCCTTCATCAACTATCACGAAACCCTCCACATAATCGAATCTCTCCCTCCCTGGTTTCCCATGCAGAGAAATCAGATACTCCTGATCCTCACAAAACCTTCCAAAATTCGAATACAAAACTCTAATCCACCGAACCTGTTCAATTTTCATCATATATATTATACATCTTACATAAACAAAACTTTAACATCACATCTACTTGTATACTCATTCAGCCATAGACATGTACAGTAACTCTATAGTATTTTTTATGTATAATTTTGTTAATATTCCTTTGTGGATAGTGTTATCAGAAATTAATTAACTAGTTTAGAGAATGTCCAGGCGAGCAACACTAAATGAGAAATCTAACTTTATCTCATAAGGAACCTAAACCGTCCCTTCGAAAACGACCCTTTTTAGGTTTTGTCGCTGATGTGAAGAAAGATTTTGGAGAAAAGACGTATCGTGTGCTCCTCCTATCATCTCATGGTTGTCATCTTCAACCGACTTTTTCTTCGGATGGAAAAAGGAAATAACATTTACCATTTTTTTACACTCCAAGTTTATTTACACTGAGTAAGCTGCTTTTCAAAAAAAAAATGACGAGTGCAATTGTAGTGTATGCATTAAGAAATTATCAGTCTGTGAGAGGTGACGAGTGAGTAGGATGAAATGAATTGGGTGGTGTACAAGTGTGTGCAAGAAAAGGAGACAAAGAAAGAGAAAGTACGTGAGAGAGAGAGAGAGAGAGAGAGAGAGAGAGAGAGAGAGAGAGACATACTCTGCGAGGAGCTGGTTCGAGAGCAATTCGAGCCCTTGTGATGATTCCAAATTGTCCAAGACCGCCAAGAACAGCATGGAACAACTCCGAGTTACGATCTTCTGAACATGTCACCAGCTCACCCTTTCCTGTTACACCACTTCCCATTATCATACCAATAACTTACCACACTTGTAATAAACCACGCTAAAGACAAACCAGATTCATTCGTACCCAGCACCATGACAAACCAGTGGGACACCGCTGTTTAATTACTCAAAACTTTTTCCCCCCTGAGGAACAACTAGTTCGCACCGTTTTTTTTAATAGTAAAACCACCAACTTTGCCAACAATTACATAACAAAACATGTCGATAATATAAAAATGCACAAACAACAAGCATGTCCAAAAAAATGATTACATATGCTTGAAATCAGTTCGTGGTTGTAACCGGTGAGAGTTACTCCTCACAAGATGATAGCTTTAACAGTGAAGAATGGGAATTACCTGTGACCACATCGAGCTCGTAAACATTGGTGATCTGAGGACCGTGATTGAAGGTTTGTCCACTAATTCCTGCGTTGGATAGGGTTCCACCCACAGACAAATACAAGTAATCGGTCCAAGACATGGGAGCCAGCCCATACTCCAATGTTGCACTCAAAACCTCTATCCACAACTCTCCACCCCACACGTCTACATACATTCCTTTCTCACACACTCTAACACCGCCACCACCCTTTCCCATTTCAATCACCACCCCTTTCTTCTCTCTTATCAGCGCTTGCCCGTTTATCGAATGTCCATGTCCCCTCGCCGACACCGCCAACGCCGACTCGAACGCCGCCTTCACCACCCTCGCCACATCCTGCGCCGTCGCAGGGTGCACCACCTCTGAAGGCACCCCTCTGCTCAGCCTCCCGAAGTCCACAGAGGCCGCTTCCAGCTCCCACGTGTCCACGCTCAGTCGACCCTCCAGTCCCACATCGAGCAGCTCCGGGAGCACCGTTAATCCCACCGTTACTATCAGACGGCATATGGCGAATGTTATGAGAAGAAGCTTGTTGTTGTTGTTGACGGCCATTAATTGAAGAAGATAATAATTAATTAGAAAAGTACCCCACAGGCTAGGTAGCTACACTACCCGGTGTACGTGTGGTTTCACTGAGCAATTAATGAAGATACATGCATGTCATGTGTGTAGTGTACGATGATGCTGATGATGATGA